ACTTCTTTGTCTTCTAAGAAAAATGAAGATAAATTATAAAGAAAAATTGGGGGGAAAAATACACAAAGTGGGTAGTTAGCCTAAATACATGAAATGCTTACAGGAATATTAGTTGTAAACATGAAAAAATCCTCACTTTGTCATAAACTGCACAAAAGTCATTTCTATATACATGCTATGCTTCAATTAAAATTTTAAAATAAAGTCACTTCAATATAGGAGCCTTACCCGGTTTTGATCATTGTCACTATGGTTGGCAAAATCTTCATCTGACTCCTTTAGGGGGAAAAAAGGCTTTGTCATTAAACACGCTTTACTTGGAAGCACAGAGATGAGTTCAGGTCTAAGTCTCCGGGGCAAGCTCATTCTGTGTCAAGTTGAGGAAAAGCTCTAAACTCAGTCTGTTTGTACTGACTACTGGCCACCTCTGCATCGAGGTGCCGGCAAGGTGGACAGTTGGCAATGTTATGAAGGGTTGTTCCAGCTAGCATGTAAGTTTTGTGGTTCACTTAAACACATCTAACAATTTGTTCGTATCATCTGCACTTTCAACTCTAACCTTTGGTTTTAAAGTTAAAGTTGCACATTTAATTAGCTAAATTATCAAAAGTCGGTTGTGTTATTTTACACTTGGATTCCACTCTCTACATTCCCTCCAAGCAGCATAACTACTTTCTCAGGCCCAGGAAGGGGACATTAATTTGCTACCAGGAACTCTGTAAAGAGCTACATTGGTGGCTAAAAACAAAAGATTCATCTAATGACCATCTGTTACAGCAAGGCTGCTTACAAAAAGCTTGTTTCTGACCATGAGGTTTTGTTCAGAGGACTGGAGGAAGGAGGGCAGGGACGGCGGACTGCAGAAAGGGGAACACAGGATAGAGGAGCACATGGGCAAAACTGTCTCCTTTCAGAAATCTCATCCTCAAGGAGTACCCTTCAAAGTGGCTCTGCCCTTTGCAATAACAAACATCTCATCTAAATGAACAACTCCAGATACAACTGTGATCAAGGCCCACAGACTACAAGACCCTAAACCAGGGAGTCAGCTTATGTTCTGTGGATATGAAGAGGCTAGAGGTGGCAGCAAAGCAAAATGTAAGTGGATGCTGTAAGCACCCCCTGGTCTAGAAGGTTTTATAGTAAAGAGGTTTTAAATGTAGATTTTTTTTTTCCTCTAGAATTATTCCGAGAGAGAATGTACTCAAGGACTATATCCCAGGCAGAGATTCCACCAAAATATCTAAGCTGCCCTCCTCAAAATATATTGGGTGAGAGAGGGATTTAGTGGCAAGAGGGAGGGTAATAGTGAAAGAAATTAACACAGTTTTCCTTGTCTTTGTATGTAAGACAAAAAGGAAATCTAACCCCAAGGAAAAACTTCAGAATATGGCTTCTATCACTGTTAAAAGTTTTATGAAAACAGATTGCTAATTCACAAATATGTTACTTAACTAGCTAAACACATCCTGAGCTTCCTGCCCACCATGACCTGGTCACACCAAACAGTCCTCACCTCTTCCTCTTTCTCTTCTTCACTGTCCACGATACTGCCACGATCGCTGCCTACAGAGCCTTCTGGAGAGAAGACAGGTAAGAGTTACCACCATGAGTCTCAAGAAAATGTCCTTAGCTCCTTCTCAAAATCACAAACCACCACACAACAGAATCACAGAGACTTTGATAAAACCATCTATACCCATTTATTGGAATTAAAAATATCTTCATTATGGTGAGAAACAAGATATTTATGTAGTCTGAAAGTACCACCCCACAAGATACTTACCAAAAAAAAAAAATCATTCATTGCACAGGAAAAAAACTGACTTGTATTCCTCAAAGATTTCAAGGTCATGAAAAGCAAAGAAAGACTGAGAAACTGTATCTGACTACAAGATGACTAGAGAGATGCAACAACTCAATGCTGTGAGTGACGGGTCCTGGATCGAGTCCTGGACCAGCAATCAAGAGAGACTGTAGCCGGGTGCGGTGGCTCACGCCTGTAATCCTAGCACTCCAGGAGGTCGAGGCGGGTGGATCGCTCAAGGTCAGGAGTTTAAGACCAGCCTGAGCAAGAGCAAGACCCC